CATACTGGAGACAAATCATACAAATGTAATGAATGCAGCAAAGCCTTTGCTGAACGCTCAAAGCTTACTCAACATAAGAGAATCCATACTGGAGAGAAACCTTACAAATGTAATGAGTGTGGCAGGGTCTATAGTCAAAAGTCAAATCTCGCAACTCATCAGAGAATTCATACTGGAGAGAAACCTTACAAATGTGATGAATGCAGCAAAGCCTTTCGTCAACATTCAATGCTTACTCAACATAGGAGAATCCATACTGGAGAGAAACCTTACAACTGTAATGAGTGTGGCAAAGTTTTTACCTTTTATGAAGGCCTTAAAATACATCAGAGAATTCATACTGGAGAGAAACCTTACAAATGCGATGAATGCAGCAAAGCCTTTGCTCGACGCTCAATGCTTACTGTACATAAAAGAATCCATTCTGGAGAGAAACCTTACAAATGTAATGTGTGTGGCAAAGATTTTGCTGATTGTTCAAGACTTAACAGGCATAAGAGAATCCATACTGGAGAGAAACCTTACAACTGTAATGAGTGTGGCAAAGTTTTTACCTTTAACGAAGGCCTTAAAATACATCAGAGAACTCATACTGGAGAGAAACCTTACAAATGCGATGAATGCAGCAAAGCCTTTGCTCAACGCTCAGTGCTTACTCTACATAAAAGAATCCATAGTGGAGAGAAACCTTACAAATGTAATGTATGTGGCAAAGTCTTTGCTGATGGTTCAGGACTTAGTAGGCATAAGAGAATCCATACTGGAGAGAAAATTTAGAAATGTAATGATCGTGGTAAATCTTTTACCCAATTTCCATGCCTTAAAAGACATAAGAAAATCCATACTGGAGAGAAACCTTATAATATAATGAATATGGCTAGGTTTCTGGTCAAAAGCCAAACCTTACAATTCATCACAGAATTCGTACTGGAGAGAAACCTCACAATAGTAGTGAATGCAGGAAAGCCTTTCCTGAGCATTCAAGCCTTACTCAGCATAAGAAAATCCATACTGGAGAGAATCCGTACAAATGTACCTAATGTGGCAAATCTTTTATCCCATTTTCATGCCCTATTCAGCATTAAAGAATCCATTGTAGAAAGAACTCTTACAAGATGTAATTAGTATGGCAGAGCTTTACCCAATTTGGAAGTCTTTATGGGCAACAGAAAAATGCATACTGAAAAGAAATATAAACCTAATATATGTGGCAGTACTTTTGTTCAAAAGCTCAAGCTTTGAGAATCCTCAGAAAATTTATAGGCGCAAGAAGCCTTACAATTATGATTGAAACAAAACTTATGCAAGTTCTCAAGCCTTTCTCAACATCAGAGACTCCATTGTGGAGAGAAATCACATAATAGTAATGTATATGTCCAAGCTGGTAACCAAGGCTCAGACCTCCTTTGATATCAGAATTTACATCTTTAAGAAAAACACACAGATGTAATGTATGTTAGGCATGTCCAAAGTTTAAGACTTGTGGAACATAACAGAATTCTTACTAGAGAGAAATCTTATAAATGTAATGAGTGTGATCAGCTTTATCAAATATGCAGAAGTTTGTGGTCATGAAAGAATTCATATAAACTGGAGACCATACAAATGTGTCAAGGCCTTTAAGCAATGACCTCAGTATATACCAAAGAATTCATACTGGACAGAAATATGACGAGTGGAAGGTGATAAATTGTTTAACCCATTCTCTCATTGGAATACATATGACATTCATGCTTGAGGGAACTGATTTGCTGTAAGTGCTAAACTATGTTTGATGATGAACCAACCTCAGATGTTAAATTCCACACAGGATAAAAAGTTAAAATTATTTAAAGCTCATGAGATGATGTGTGTCAATGAAGCAAGGTCATCAATAGAAATGTCTATCTTCAGTTTATAAAATGTTTTTTTTCAGTTTGAGATTTCTTGAAAAGGCTACATTATTATTGATGACTTACACCCTGAAGGTTGAAGCCTGTTGATGTTATATTTTCATTACATGCTTTTCATTTTTCACCATAGTGGTCTCAGAGAAGGGATCAGTAAAGTGAAAGGACCTACTTCATTAGGAGGGTTTATACATATCCATGGAACCTGGAAAAACTAGTATGCCAATTTTAAAGTCTAATATGGTATAAATTTGAGAGCATGGGGAGTAGCAGAGAATAGATGTAAAATGTTATCTAAATTACTGTGCTTTCTGTGGGCACAGCCTCTTGAGATTTGTTGCTATGACTGTGGGCCTCTATTGGTGATTATAGGAAAGAGTGTTCTATGAGATGATCATGAGAAAGAGTAGACTAGAACATTAGAGAATGGTATTTTCACTTGAGTAGAATAATGGGTTAGTATGGATGGCATATGTGGTTGAAAAAATGGAGGGGGAACGGTGGTCTCCCTCTCTTTTGAACCTTTTTTTTTCTTTTTTTTTTTTTGTGAGGAAGATCAGCCCTGAGCTAACATCCATGCCAATCCTCCTCTTTTTGCTGAGGAAGACTGGCCTTGGGCTAACAGCTGCGCCCATCTTCCTTTACCTTATATGGGATGCCGCCACAGCATGGGCTGACAAGCTGTGTATCGGTGCGTGCCCAGGATCCGATCCCAGACCACCAGCAGCGGAGCGCAAGCACTTAACCGCTACGCCATGGGGCTGTCCTCTCTTTTTAAAAGGTAATAGATGTTTTATATCACAGATTAATGAAAATTAGTCTCTGTTTTGGAAACTCAAGAGACAGAGTTAGAGAGGACAGTTTAATCAAAAGAACGAGATTAGAGTGTGCTTGTGAAGGATGCAAATTTGCCCACTGAAATTGCGTTTTCATACCCCTTTATTTAGCTTGTATTATGCTTCTCACATCTAAATAAAGTGTAATCCATTTTTGTAACCCTGAATGACTCATGTGTCTTCTCTTGACCCAAGCATATGCCCCCTCATCGAAGTGCTTTGTGATGACCACTAATGACACATCATTAGGCTCTGTAGTTGAATGGCATCTATAACAATTTCTTTCCATATTAGATTCAAACAACTTACATTTCTGGAAATATGTATTCATAATTTGCTTAGGAGTTATTCACTCCTTGATCTATTTCAAGTTATTCCTGTGGCTATAAAGAAAATACAATGGTAGTGCAATTTCAGATTCTCCCCAACTACAACCTGCCTCTCTGTTCATAAATATACACCATTTGATAATATTTCTAACATGCTTTTCTTGTGCTGAAATAAGATGCATGTGTTGCACCTTTACATCATTTGAAAATAGGAATATAGTTAGCATATGAAAAATATTAAATAAAAATAAATTTCAGAAATAAGGATACAAATAATCTTTTGTTGCTTGGAGCACTCAGGAAAATGGTTTCAAAAGGTTAATGTTCATGAATTTCTTCTTAAGAATGAATATGCACTATGGGAATTTTTTTGATGTATAAACCAGCAATTTCATATACAGGCATACTTGGGAGACATTGTGGCTTTGTTTGCAGATCACTGCCATAAAGTGAATATTGCAATAAATGAGTCACACAAATTTTTTGGTTTCCCAGTGTATATAGAAGGTATGTTTACACTATACTGTAACCTATCAAGTGTGCAATAGTATTGTCAACAAAAATTATCTGGAATAAGAGAATTTACTTATGAAAGCCTTACTGCTCATATAGTTTGTAAACTGGGGAGATGCAGCCTCCAGAACAAACAGAAAGTACGCTCCAGGGGGGTTGTTGGAAGGCAGTGTTTATAGACACAACCATAGACCAGAGGGATTATTTTCAAAGCCCTCTAATTTGTTGGTTCCCCTATAGATAATGGTGTTCTACAATCAGTTATATCAGGCTTCTGGCCATGTGTCGGGAAGGAATGCCCGGTTTCTGGCAAAAGTTATGGTTTTTCTGAAAACGGAGTACATGACTGCACCTTCCCATTTTCAAGTCAGCTTAAACTGTTTTGTTTTAGGTGCCAGTTAGCGACAGAGAGTCAATTTTATCTTTCTCTTTTAGAGATTCTCTTTTCTTATAATTTTAATTGTATATTTTCCACTTTTGTTTGGAACCTGCCATAGGAAGCATTGATGTTCAATTTGGTGTTTGCTCTGCTTCAGTGCTGAGGTGGCCTCTGCCTACCTCAGGTCCCTCTAGGCTCACAGAGGGACTCATGGTCTTAGTGGGCCTTAGTTATCCAATCGAGTGACTCGGCCATGCAAGTTAGGGGTCCATCCAGGTACCGATTATAGGTCAATTCAGGTCCCAGAGTGGAAGTTTCTGGAGGTTCCAGTGATGGTTGCATCTAGGGTCAGAAGATGTTGAGTCACCATGATTCAGGTTGGATTTTCACGGAGGCATGTGTGGAAGCAAGCCAGAATTATTTTAGAGAACAATCAGATGCTTAGTCCTAAAACCAATGATAACATGAGGACCTGGAAACCCAATCTTAAGAGTGAGCCCAGACTTGAGAGTAACCAACTAAAATGATCTGCAAGGCATGAATGGGGAAATAGGAATGAGGTTATACATGTAATCTCTTATTTGTTGTTATGCAGGGCCATATTTGAGCAATGGTGCAGACAACATGAAGGAAAGCCAAATTCAATGGGATGTGCCTATACTTTAATGAGATCCTCTAATCCTACAGAAGAAACAAATATTGTAGCTAGGTGATCATACCAATGAAAAACTACGTGAGTCCATCTGGGTTTGAGGAAAGGGAGATTAATGACAGTTATTTGGGGTGAGTCCTTCCTTGCATCCCAAAGAAAGCAGCGTTTAATGCCCTAGCCAGCCAGGTGGAAGCCAGAGCCAAAGGTTTGTTCCACATGACCATTGAATTCTGTTATTGGTTCACCCAGTAAATGCCTGGTTGGCGAGACCAGTCTGTCCCAAACCAGTCACTTTCTTTAAAGCTAATGGTATTTTTGCATGACTCAGGATCTCCATCCCATGTCTCGAGTGCAGTTAGGTTGACCTTGTCTGGAATCATTTCTTTGTTCTCATCATAAGGGTGCCAGTATGTCCAAAGTTCCATAGCTATGAGTCAGTCAAATATATCCATCCAAGATCTGAGTGAAACCTATCACGATTCTCATCACTGTAAGTAGTTTCTTTGCTTTATTTGCAAGTTGTTGAGATGATTTAGTGGTTTGGGAAACCGAAAAAAAGTAGTTATACACCGTATCATTAATAGGAAGGGTTATTGGCCAGGTGTCACCATCAAAATTAGAAATGTCTGGGGCCGACCCAGTGGCCTAGCGGTTAAGTGTGTGTGCTCCGCTGCGGCAACCCAGGGTTCAGATCCTGGGCCCACACCGATGCACTGCTTGTCAAGCCATGCTGTTGCGGCGTCCCATATAAAGTGGAGGAAGATGGGCACAGATGTTAGCTCAGGGCCGGTCTTCCTCAGCAAAAAGAGGAAGATTGGTGACAGATGTTAGCTCAGGGCTAATCTTCCGCACAAAACAACAAACAAACAAAAAATATATACATGTATATATAGAATTAGAATTGTCAGATGTGTTGTGGTTGCTTGAACTAGATCTTTCCATCATAATAAATTGTTTCAAAGCTTCCAGTCTGTGCCCTGGAGGGGAGAAATCTACCAAGGTGACCCAGATGAACTAGAAAGAGGGAGTTGCCCACATATCCAACATGTAGACAGATTTATCTCTGTAGCAAACGAACGAGCCCATTTTAACAGGATATTGCTAGCTGGGTCCCATTCAGATGTGGACTGCAAATACAAACACAGTATCAGAAATATCTTAAATGACATTTGAACACTATGACAATGGTAATATTAAATAGTTGTGGAAGTGGATATACAAGCCTGGTCCAGGGTCTTGGGACAGCTGTCTACAACAGATGTCAGCAACTTCTCTTCCTGGAAGTTGTTATTGTGAGTTAGCTTTATTGTGGTGTCTGAGAGCAGAGTGCATTTCCAGTCATCTTAAGGAGCTGGTAAGGCCCTTTCTAATGGGCCTCAATGGCTGTCTTCCTCTGATGATGTTTCTGGATACCCAGTCACATGCTCTAGACTGTGATCAATTGCATCCTTTAAATTTGAATCTGGGAAAGGTTCTTTAATCTGTTG